TAATGTATAAGCATCACCTGGGGGTGGTACTAGTTTTGAAGATGTGAAGGGGTCATGGAAGGCAGCTGAGGCTTGGCACTGTGAGAGTCCAGGAGAGGTCATTGGTCGAGGTGCAGCCTCAGTGGCAGGTGAAGGCCCAGAACTGAAGGGGTCATGCAGAGAAGTTGAGGCTTGGCACCGTGAAGAGAGAGCACCTAGGAGAGGCTATTGGTGAAAGTGCAGCCCAATTGCAGCAGAAGACCCAGCATTTTGGAGATGCCAGTACCATGGCATGATCACCAAGACACAGCAGCAGCAGTGGAGTGGAGTCAGCCAGAGCCTAGAAGACAAGCTGTGTGCGCTGCAGAGGGCGGAGCTGGAGAAGTGACCCAAGCTCCTTGGAAGGAGCCCGGAAGATCACGAGTGAACCCCAGATGATTGGATGTTGACTTATTTATACTGTTGGAATTTGGTTTGGTTTTGTTCAGATTGTGACTGGGCCCTGATTCTTCCCTCTTGAAGTGAGAAGGTATTTAATTTAATTTTGATTTTTATAGGCGCTCACAGCTGAAAGACTGAATTTTTAAAGAGATTTTGGACTTTAAAAGAGATTGGATATTTTAGAGACTGAACTTTTAATGTTTGAATTTATAAAGACCATGGGACTCTTATAGTTATTATTTTAATGTGAGACTTGGGGATGAAAGAGAAAGGAAAGATTGTGGTTAATGGTGATGTGTTTGTGTGTCAAGTTGACAAAGGGTCATTCCTGCTGGATAGTTTTATGTTAAGTTGACACAAGATAACCTTACTAAGAAAATGCCTCTATCTGATCAGGCTGTAGGCAAATTTCTAGGGCACTTCCTAATGCTGTGATCCTTTAATACAGTTCCTCATGTTGTGGTGACCCCCAACCATAAAATCATTTTCATTGCTACTTCATGGCTGTAATTTTGCTACTGTTATGAATCATAATATAAATATCTGTGTTTTCCAATGGTCTTAGGTGACCCCTGTGAAAGGGTCATTCAACCCCCCAAAGGGGTAGTGACCCACAAGTTGAGAACCACTGCTGTAGGGTATCTTCTTAATTAGTGATTGACAGGGGATGGCCCAGCCCATGGTGGATGATGCCATCCCTGGGCTGCTGGTCCCGGGTTCTATAAGAAAGCAGGCTGAGCAAGCCATGGGGAGCAAGCCTGTAAGCAGCATCGCCCCTCCATGGCCTCTGCATTCAGGTTCTTGCCCTGTTTGAGTTCCTGTCCTGACTTCCTTTCATGATGAACAGTGCTGTGGGAGTGTAAGCCAAATAAACCCTTTCTTTCCAGTTTGCTTTTTGGTCATGGTGTTTCGTTGCAGTAATAGAAATCCTAACTAAGACAAGTGGGTAGACACATGACTGGCATCATCTGTCCCGCATCACCCAGGCAGCACAGACTGATAAATGATTTATTCCTGGGAGTAGAATAAATATACATTAATCTAAGTGAATTGAGACTGTAGGGGCACATGTGCATATCAAAAACATCTTGGGGGGGGGGAAAGGTGTGACTGCCTCTCCTGGATCCCTTAAAAAGGTGGACATCTAGTCCTGTAATGACAAAGGCCCATACCAACCTGCCATCCTATCATCCTAACGTATGTGTCAAGGGGCTGACCGAGAGCTCCCAACTGTCCCTGGGGCTTCAGCTCAGCTCAGCTCATCGCTGGTGCAGCCTGTTTGAATTTCTGTCTGCCTGTCTGAGCCTGCTGTCTGTCTTCCCATTCATTCATCTTGACTCGGTCTACCTTTTCACCTCTGCAGCTGGACTCAGCTCTGCAGCTTTGCTTACACCTGTGAGCCTCCCAGGCTGCCTCCACAAGGGCAGACCTCCTGAGACCTCCACAGACCCCTCGCCTTTCTGTCAGTTTCCTAGCTTTGGCCTCTGGAGCCTCTTTGAACCCCCTTGACTACTTAGACCGTTATGGCCGCTCTACAGTGTACATATGCAGGTGTATATCAGTGTATTTACTGTGATAGGCAGAGTATAATCTGAGAGTTAATATTAGTAATTAAGCTTGGAAAAAACAAGAGCCGTGTTTGCAGTGGCTGGGGCCATCAAGGAAGGTGGGACTATATGGCAAACTGCTGCTTTTGAGGCTTCTGTAGTGTGTGTGTGTGTGTGTGTGTGTGTGTGTGTGTGTGTGTGTGTATGCATGTGTGTGCATGCATGCACGTGTGCGTGTACATGTATGTGTGTGTATGTGTGTTAATAAATTCTGACACTGTGGACAGACATAAACCTAGTCACCTCTTTCTGATATAGCACACTCATGGCAGCTCTGGAAGCTTGGTGGGCCCTGCTGCTCATACAGCATTTGTCTCATACATGTCTGTAGTTCTGCTACCGACTCTCAGGTTTGTTGACCATCTTGGAAGTCAGGTTGTAGTAGCACAGTTCAGAGTCCCTGAAGCAGAATGGCCCCAGACTGTTCCTTTTATCAGTCAGCTCTTTCTAAAGTACAGGGGTCCTTCAGTATCCACAGGGTACTGATTTTAGAATCCCTCCCGATACCAAAGCCTGAAGATGTTCAGGTCCCTTATGTACAGTGGGCACAGTATAGGTAGTCTAAACTACTCTATCGCTGTTTTCAGTCATCTCTAGATGGCTTTCCGTCCCAGTACAAGGGAAATGGATGCGAATAGCTGCCGTACTGTGCTATTTAGAGGATGAGGACAAGGCTGTGTCCACAGCAGTTACATTGATTTTCTTGAATACTTTTAATTCATTGATCAGAGCCTCCATGGGTACAGGAGTTGGCTGCACTTGGTACTCTCTGTCCCTCCTGTCAATTAGGTCAAAGGTGTCCACCACAGTATCAATCCAAAGGCAGGCTGGTATGTAAGACTAGCTTGGCACAGCCAACAAGATGGGTCAGTCACCCACTACCCATCCTCTTGGAATTTTACCTGGGAAACTTGGACAGAGTCACATGGTCAGTCACATGGAATTGAAGGCTGTGGCAAAGGGAGCAAGGAGCCAACAGTTCGAGTCTGAAGCAGAGTGCTGAGTTGAGGAGAGGGCAGAAAGCCTGAAGCAGGGAGAAGTGGGACAGACACTCAAGAGGAACAGAAGACAGAGAGAGGACACGCTGAGGTGAAGGCGCACGCTGGGGAGGCTCCAGGAGCTACTACAACTGGGTCCATGGGAGCCATCTTGAGTTCTTAAAGGCCTTCCTGCTCCAGGTTCACCACTCCCATGGCGCCCTGTGTTCTAGAGCACCTAGATGCAAATGTACACACACAAATATATGCACATTTGCACACACATACACAAGAACATATTTTATAAATACATACAAGTTGAATATCCTTCCCTGGATATGGGAACTATAAATATTTGGGGTTTGGATATTTTTTGAATTATGGAGTATTTGCATTACCTAAGGGGATGACTTAAGGATGGGGCACTAACTAAACACAAAATTAACTTATGATTTGTGTGCAGTGAACACACACAGTCTGAGGTCACTTAGTGCAGTATTTTTAGGGCTCTGAGTTTTTCATGAGGACAGGTGTGAACTTTCTACCTGGGCTCAAAAACGCTCAGATAAGGGAATGTTCTAGGTTGGGGATTCCCAGATTCAGAAATAGTATGGTTGAATAATATAAAATATAACATGGTATACAATATAAACTATCTGGATTACATAATGTAAATACATATAAAGTGACAGACAAATATGAGCATATGTAATATGTGTTGCAGATATGGTCGAATTTCTACTGAGACGGAGACTTGAGTGTAAAGTGTGTGTGGTTGAGACCATGCTTGAGAGTCTTTTAAAGTCCCTGCAGTGCGCATGCTTTGGTATAGCTACAACCCTGGATGGCAATGTGCAGCTATACATGCAAGTGGGACCAATCCCTCCCAGAGAAGGCTTGCTAAAGAAGTGCAAATGAGGAAACACAGACTCTGGCTCCGTCCCTGCCAGAGACCCAAAGTGAAAACATCGTGATCGTAATTTGCAAGACTTTCCATCCCCAATGGCAATTGATTAATCCCTCTGGGCAAACCAACTATGGAGCCATTCCCTGGGTGACAGCTGTCTGCTGGGATTATTTAATTGGAACTCTTACGATTTCCCAAAGAGTTGAGTACTTTTTAACAATTGGCACACATGTAGCAACTGTATTAACATAGGAAAACAAAAATCGTAGAAAGGGCCCGGCGGATAGCCCAGGACAGCGAGGCAGACATAATTCCAATTAGAAGCAACCAAATGCTTCAGTTTCCTGGAGGTAACGGGAAGGGGGAATCCTGGGTAAAAACCAAGGCTCTTTGATCTTCTAAATGGAAAGAGAGGGTTTTCTCTCCACACTTTTTAAAGTCTGACGGCTTCATCATCATCGTCGTCAGCTTTGTTTCTCACACCAGATTCCCATCATTTCCTGCTCCCGAGTTCCTGTGCCCATTCAGTGACACTGTCAACAGCAGCTCTAACAGGACATGCCCACCGACTGGGCACCTCCGTGGTTTTCAGGAGGCATACCATGGCTTGCAGGCTTCTTCATCTCGAGTGAAGAAAATGTCTCAGTTCCTTCAGGCAGCTACAGCAAAATCCCTTAGTCTGGAAGCTCATAAGCGGCAGTGACGTGTTACTAACAGGACTGGAGGTACAATGCCTGTTGAGGCTCATTGTTTGGACATACACATTTATACAGACCTGAGCACCCATGTGAGCACACACATGCACATACATACATACATACATACTCTTCTTTTTTTTTTTAAGAGAGAGATTAAGGAAATTTGCCCAGTGTCTCCAGTGAGTGGGAAAGAAGAGATGAGCTTGAAGCCACTGGAGCTGCACTGGTCTGGTGGCCACAGGCACGGTCCCCCACCCCCATTGTTCCTCGATGCTCATGAACACTCCTCTTATCCTCTCAGCCACTTTATTGTCTCAAGCCTGGAACAGCAAGTGTCAGAACCTGACCTCCTGGCCTCCTCTTCTGCTCCCCCAGTCCCAGCACCTGTCCTTCACAAATGACCCTTGTAGGTGGAGCACAGATCTTCGGGGTGCGGCTCTCCCAGAAGCGCATCAAGCCAGAATTCCAGGTCACGCACCAGCTGTTCCAGCTCTCTCACTTCTCTCTCTAGCTTCTCCAGAAAACCGTGCAAGTTTGTCTTCAGCCACTTCCTGAGGGTCCTTGTTGGCTCTTCAGTGGGTTCATTGGCCTGATACTCAAAGCCCTGAAAGGCAGACACCAAAGTTGTGTCTTCAAACTTTTCGGGTGGGTTTCTTGTTTGAGCAAGTTCCCCATGCCTTTGCAAATGTTGCTCATTCTGCCTGGGTTACCCCACCTTACCTTCTCCACCTGACCAGTTCCTATTTAGCCTTCCCAAACTAGCTAGCTGGTGACACCTCCTCTAAGAAGCCTTCCCGGCCCCCTTAGTACATCTCTGAGTGTTACCTGGGATGCCACGGGATTCTGAGGGTGGCTGCAGTCCCTGATCCGTCCGGATCCTTCCCAGCCACTTCCTGAAACAGGCATGGATACCCTTAACAAACAGTCTGCTAAGTGTGATTGGTCTCTGCAGAGGGAGGGGAAGTAGGAAATGGCAGAGTGTGGGGACCTCCTAAGGACCTCCACCCCACTCTGTGGACTTGGTTTCTCATTGTTGGCTTCCAGAATGCTCACCTGATATCCCTGTGCCCAGGTACAGCACCAAGACCAGCAGTGCTAACAGCGTCTGGGAGGAGAAGAGGAGGAAGGAGACAGGAAGGTGAATTCCTGGGTGCAGAATGCTCCAAACCCCTGACAGGGGTGCAGTCATGGGGGAGCTATCAGTCGTTGGTAGACATTTTCCCTGATCTAAGTCACACATGCTTCCAACCATTGCAGAAACAGACGACAGGGCAATGCTCCAACATTTATATCTTCCTCTTCCTCCTCTCCCACCCCACTGTCCTGAATCACTTCAAATCTATTTATTCCAGTCGAACTGTGGGAGGCCCCAACTTTATGGATGTCTAGTTCATATACAACAAAATGCACACATTTTAAATGCACTGTCTGATCAGTTTTGACAGGTGTCTGCGATCTAACCCTTTCCCTCCTCTTGAGAGGTCTCCCACACCTCTCTCTGTCAGTTCACATTGTGCCCATTTGTGAGTTCTGTGGAAAAGAGTCAATGATGTCTTCTGTGTAATGTTTCTGATGTGGCTCCATGTTTTTGTGTGTTCAATTTTATTGATGAGTGTGTTGCATGGGCCTAACACAATTGATCCTCATCTCCTGGTGGGTGGTTTAAGTTTGAGGTGGTCATGTACGAAAGTGCTTTAAACATGCGTATGCCCTATCTTTGTGTGGACAGGTCTCTCATTTCTGCTGGGTGACTGTTCAGACATGGAAATGCCAAGACATAGGGTGAATGTATGCTTAATTCTAGAACAATATGCAGGACTGTTTCTCAAGCTGTTTACTCTACTTTGTCCCATAGGTCAGTCAGAGAATTCTTGTTGTTCTATCTCTTTGTCTTCACCTTTTGGTTTTTAAAGACTATTTTATGTGTATAATTGTTCTGACTGCATGTATGTATGTATGTGTAAACAAATGTATGCCGGATATCGGCAGAAGTCAGAAGAGGGCTTTGGAACCCCTGGAACTGGAGTTACTAGAGATGGTTATTAGCTACCATGTGGGTGCTGGGAACCAAGCCTGGAACCTCTGCAAGAGCAACAAGTGCTCTCAGCTGCTGAGCCATCCTCCAGTCTGGAGGTTTAGCCTCTCATCAGGGCTTTACTGGTGAGCATTAATCTGCTTATCCTTGTTATGCCTGTTGAAGTCATTTGCTCTTTTGTTTTATCGGACCATCTTGTCTTTTGATTAAGTTGTCGAGTTCTTTGAATATTTTGGATCTAAGTAGCTGAGAAAATATTCACTGTGAATATTTTATCGACTCTGTGGCTTATCTTTTCGCTTTCACATCAGTTTCTCTTGAAAAATGAACAAGTTTCTTTTTATAAAGCAGTTCACCCTTTTGGGGGTGTGCTTTTTGTGTGGAGTCTAGAACATTTGTCTCTTCTAAGGTTTATTTTCTCTTATTCTAAACCTTTTATTGTTTTAACTTAATTTTATGTATATGATCCACTTTAGAGTAAATTTTGTATGTAATGTAAAATATGGCTGCAGAGTTTTAAAGATATAGATATCCAGTTGTCCTGCAATTATTTTTAGGACGATTTTTCCTCATTAAATTATATTGGTGCCTTTGGTGTATCACGTGGGTGTTCCTGGGTTCTGTTGCTTCATCGTTCTTCATGTCTATCTTTTGTCGATGCTAAATCTGTGGGAGTCCTTATCTGCTGGGACCGCCATGCCACGTTGGCACCGCTATGCCACACTGGCACTGCCATGCCACCATACCACAGACTAGAGGCTTTTAACGGTAGACTCAGATTTTCCATCAGTTGAAGCTGTGGGATGCAGCCTCTCTCCTGGGCCTTCAGGTATCACCTCTCCCCGTGTCCTCAGGGGGCTCATCCTCTGACCCATGTACCCCTTGCTGCCTCTTCCAATGAGGGTACAGCCTGGCCCATGAGACCAGAGACTTCACAGCAGCCACCTCCTTAGAAATCTTGTCTACAAGTCAAGTCACTTGGGGGGTAGGGCTTTAATGTATGAATTGTGAGAGACAAAGTTCTGTTTCCAAGTGAGACGCTGATGCTCTCTCGTTTGGTACGAATGAAAATGAAGAGCGTGTGTGAGGCTGTGGGGAGGGACACTTGAGTCCCTGTGGTGACTGCAGGGGATTGAGTCTGAAGCAGGGAGGGACAGGGGGAAGCAGCGTGTGCCCTGGCCTTACCTGCTTCCTGTCATCACAGTGGCTGCTCCTTCTCTGTTCAAGCAGCTCAGCTGCCACCCGCCCCCTGCCACCCATCTTCTGGATTGCCATGTGTCTGCTCAGGGTCAGACTCCTCGGTGGATGGAAGTACTCTCGGTGGACAGGCAGGTAGCTGCCCCCTCCCCCACTCTTTGTCACCAGCCAAGCATGAGGTCTGATGTCACAGAAGGCAGAAGACAGCAAAGCCCACCACTCTGAGTCTTAGCACTGCCTCTCATATTATAAACACACACACACACACACACACACACACACACACACACACACACACACACGTATGCACGCATGCACGCACACACGCACACACGCAGAAAGCAATGGTCAGGAAGAGATGCTATGAACAGGTTTTCAGATGAATTTTCCTCTATCTTCTTATAGATTTGCAAGTTATGATTAAAATGTAAATCTTTAAAGAGAAAAAAAAAGACCAATAAAAGCCATTTTGAAAATAAATTGAAAAATTTACCAAGATCGTGATAGGTTCCCACCCAGATGAAAGTAGTAACATGGAATACAGAGAGATGGAATACAGAGAGATACCGAGTTTCTACCCACGGTATCATCCTGCATTGTGGTAGGAGGCTTCACAGCCGGGGTGTGGGTTAATCTGCCAGTCTAACTCAGTCTCCTCAGTTTTATTTGTACTTGCATATGTGTGTCTATATTTGTGTTTAATTTTCAGTACTGATGTCACATCTGTAGGTTTGGTACCTGCCAGGATAGAGAATTCTAAAAGCACATGGGCGTCAAGGATCCATGAGACCTTTGTATAACATGACACAAAACCTGCGTGTAACCGACACATAACTTTCTGCGCACTCTGTCATCTCTAGATCATTGACAATCCCTCGTGCCACATCGATACGGTATGCATGGCTGTTGGGGGGATGACGGCAGGGAAGAAGTCTGCACACCCAGCGTAGATGCCGTGCTTTCTAAACATTCTTATTTATGGGTGATTTTGACCTATAGTTACAGAGGTGACCCAGGTGTGACTCCATGGAGATTCATTTGGATTATTGTCCCTATCCTTTGTCTTAGGGTTTCGGTTGCTGTTATAAAACACCATGAGCAAAAGCTACCTGGGGAGGAAAGGGTTTACTTCGACGTACAGTCATTGACCATCATCCGGGGAAGTCAGGGCAGGAATCTGAGGGCAGGAACTGGAGAGGGCCGCAGAGGAATGTTGCACACTGGCTTGCTCAGTCTGCTTTTTGATAGCAACCAGGATCACTAGCTCAGGGGCAGTCCCTCTCACATCAATCAGGAAAATTCCCAAAAGGCTTGCCCACAGGCTAATCCAGTGGGGGGCATTTTTTTATTTGAGCTACCAAAATGATTCTAGCATATGTCAAATGGACATAAGACCAACTAGGACATCCTTTTTACTGACAGTATTTCATGTTACATGTTTGTGCCTTATCTATCTTATCTGTCTGTCGGTGTGTGTGTGTGTGTGTGTGTGTGTGTGTGTGTGTGTGTGTGTGCATTTTGTCTAACCAGTTATTCTAAAGGACATTCTTCACACACACCATGAACTAAACTTTTCAGCTTGGAATTCTTATGAATGAAGGTAAAATGAACATTATTATATAGGGTTTTATATAAATGTTAAGTTTTCATTTCTTTGGGATAAATGCCTAAGTATACAATTGCTTGCCAGTATAGTAGTTGCATTATTTAAAAAAATATTTATTTATTTTGTGCATAAGTGTGTGTGCCTGAGTGTGTAAGTGTGCGCCTCCTGCTTTCCCTCAGAGCCTGTGGAACCCAGAGAGGCTCAGATCCCCTGGAGCTGGAGTTACAGGCAGTTGTGAGCTGCCTTGTGGGTGCTGGGAGCCGAACCTGAGTCTTCTGCAAGAGCAGTAAGTGCTCCTGCCTGTTGAGGTGTTTCTGCAGCCCCCATAGGACAGTTTTAGAAGGGACATGTGAGTGTCCCTCGGGATGATGGAGCCACGTGCCACAATGCATGTGGGACTCTCTCTACCCTACCAATAGCCAGTGTTTGCGTTATTTTAAATCTTAGCTCTCCTGTAGGCACCATCTTGTTGTTTGAAAGTGCATTTCCTAGTAGGCAATGTTTTGAACATCTTCCACGTGCTCATCTGCCACCCGTGGGTACTTGTTAATGAAATATCTGTTCCTGCCTTTGGCCTGTTTTCTAATTGGATTGGTTTTTCTACAGTTGAGTGTTAAAAGTTCTTCATCTATTCTGGCAACAAGTCCTTTTCTTGGTAGATGGTCTACTAGGATTTCTTTCGAGTCTATAGACCATTAAAAAAATTCTCTTACTATGGACTTTCACAGACAAGAAGTTTGAACTTTTGGTGAGGTCCAAATTCATCCTTTTTTTCTTTTCAGAATTGTGCTTTTCTTTCTTTTTCAAAAAATTTGTGGGCTGGAAAGATGGCTTAGCAGTTAAGAATACTGGCTGCTCTTCTAGAGGACCTGGGTTCTTTTTCGAGCACCCACATGGTGACTCATAACCACCTGTAACTCCAGTTCCAAGTGATCCAGTGCCCTCTTCTGGCCTCTGTAGGCACTGTATGCATGTAGTATACAGATAAAACACCCACATAAACTATAAGCTAAAAAAAGAAGTGTGTTTATATAGTGCATGTGCGTGCACACATCTGTGCATTGTGGATGTCCAACGGCTCCAGAAGCACTTACTAAAAATGTGCTTCCTCCTTTGAACAGCTGCACACCTTTGTCAGAGCCAGTGGAGCACATTGGTGGGTCTAAATCCTGCCCTGCTGGTCTGTATGTCAATCTCCACAGCAAACCACACTGTCCGGATCACTGTACCACAGACCTTAATACCAACCACAGTGCTGCCTCTCACTTTGTTCTTCCTTGTCAAGATGGTTCGGGTCTTCTGGAATCTGAACCTTTCCATATAAACTTTAGAATAAATGTGTCTGTCTACAAAAGGCTTTGGTGGTTGGGATTGACTCAGTCCTACTGATCTGGGAGCCCTGGCATCTTTACTATGCTGTCAGTTCACGGACACGGTATGCTTTTCTGTTTATTTAGCTTTTTCTCTGTTTGTAATTGGTGTCTTATAATTTCAAGCATGTAGGTCTTATATACATTTTGTTAAATATGTATTTCATTTTCTTTGAGCTTCCTTTATATTCCAAATATGTGAAGACATCATTAATTCCTCATCTTTTCATGAGTTTCCCAAACTCTGCATAGCTTCTAACTAATATACGATGTTTATTGACACCTGCTGCTGACTAGGCATCGGACTTGGTTGATGCCGCTTCTGTGGGCTGTGATTCCGTAGGTATTGGAGTACTGAATTGCTTTGCCAGCCACGGTATTTCCAATGTCCCCTCTACAACCTGTTATGTGGTAAATATTGGGTAAAAATATTTGCTGAAAGGGTGAATAATGACCAGCATCAAATTGTGTGCTCTTAGAGGCCATGGTCAGTGTGTGGGGAACACACTTTGTCTTCATGGTATTTGACTTGCTAACTGAGTTGAACGAGTAAAGCAGGCTAGGTATGTTTTTTATTTTCTCAGTGATGAAGAGGAGGCTTGGTGAGCCGAGGAAGGATACTAGCAACTGTGGTTATTCTGCATTGAGTACCTACTGTGTGCCAGACTCACACTGAGTCCTTTCTGTATATTCCCTCCTCTCACCCTCACCATTACCTTATGAGGACAGAAGGGCTGGTCTGCGGGGGACGTTACTCCAGAAATTCAGTGTGACACACCTTTCCAGAGTATAGGTCTGTTTAACTCCAAACCCTTCCAGTTTACTGTAGGGAGTTGGTGATTTCAGACCAAAGCAAAGGACCCTGCCCTTCACGTTACCTTTGTTTACTGTGCCGATGTGGATTTCGACTTCAGTTTTGAGCTGTCAATCATAGCTGCAAGTCCTCTTTCCTCCCCGGTCCCACACCCATTCCAGGTGGTGCCTCAGGTGTTTTGTGTAAGTTCTACCCACTCATCTTCTCTTATGCACTGCTAGCATCACATGCAACTAAGATGTTTCAAGAGATTTCTAAGTGCTGCACCCTGTTCGAACTGCTTTACATACACCGACTTACCATTTAGTGGTTCTATGTGGTGAGCAACATTGTCCCCATTTTGCAGGTGGGGAGACTGAAGCTTAGAGTGATGAGGCCACTTCATCAAGTGGCACAGCTGACCAGAAGCAGGGTTGTGATCTGAAATCTGATCACAGGTCAGATCTGTAAAAAGGGGGTCTGATTACAACACACTGGCTGCTGGTCGCTATCAGATACTGCTCTGTGCTGTGGGATGTTCTGTATGTCAAATGTGTTGCTCTGATTGGTTAATAAATAAAACACTGATTGGCCAGTAGCCAGGCAGGAAGTATAGGCGGGACTAACAGAGAAGAGAATTCTGGGAAGTGGAAGGCTGAGGCAGACAGACACTGCCAGCCGCTGCCATGACAAGGAAGATGTAAGGTACCAATAAGCCATGAGCCACGTGGCAAAGTATAGATTAATAGAAATGGGTTAATTTAAGATATAAGAACAGTTAACAAGAAGCCTGATCCATTAGGCCAAACAGTTTAAATAATATAAGCATCTGTGTGTTTATTTTTTAAGTGGGCTGTCAGACTGCCAGGGCTTGGTGGGACCCAGAGAGAAAACTCTCCAGCTACAGCTCTGTACATAGTTTTGGTTGTGAGCCTAACTAGCCTTTAACAGCTGAGCCATCTCTCCTTTCCTGCCCTGTACATAGGAAAGCTCAAGCCAGTGGGGGAAAAAAAATGAGACCTGCCCAAGCTGGTTAGAGGAAAGGTGCCCAGTTCCAGGCTCTTGCTTCCCACCTGGGGTCAGAATTTAAAAGGCCATTTGTATCATGTCTGTGACTGTCTTAGTTACTGTTCTGTTGCAGAGAAGAAACACCAAGACTAAGGCCACTTATAAAAGAAAGCATTTTATTTAGGGGCTCGTGGTTCCTGAGGGTGTGAGTCCATGATCATCATGGTAGGGAGCATGGGGCAATAGGCAGGCAGTTACGGTGCTGGAGCAGTAACTGAGAGCTTACATCTGATTCACAAGT